GTATCTCTGTGTGTATTATGTGTGTACTTATGGGTGTGTACTTTCCTTTGTGTGTGTGGTGTGTATATATATTTCTGTGTGTATTACATGCGTATGTGAGCGCTTATGGTGTGTAGTGTGTGGGTGTGTGTGTGTGTGTGTGGGTGTGTGTGGGTGTGTGTGTGTTTTAGCAGAAGGGAAGGGAAAGGAGCTCCGTGGCCTCTTAAACATTACAAAGCACTATGCATAGACATTTCCGAAATAAACTGCTAATAGCTCAAAATCCTTTAGGGTTTATAAAGGATTCTGCTGTGTGTCTTCAGAAGCACCAGATCTTCTGGAAGATGAAAGAACAGAGGGAGGAATGAGACTCAGCAGGAGGAGGCCATCCCCTGCTTGGGAGGGATGGTGGAGGGAGGCTCTTGGACCCCACCTCAGGGTGGCCAGAGCCTGCTGGGCCTGATGCAAACCATATGGAACAAGATTCCATTTGAGGCTGAATGTGGAGTCAGTGAGGAGAGGGTCTGGGTGGGCAGGGGCGGGCCGAGCTCTGACAATCCATGGGAACCGACAGGCTGGGGCAGCCCACTTCCTGCTAGCCACCCTGACTACTGCAAGAATGTGTTCCCAACAACAGCAGCTGGAGGGGAAGACCAAGCCTCACATCCCCACGTCAGCCTCAAACCACGTGGCAAAGCTGCTCTTGAACTCCTGATTTTCGTGCTTTCACCTCCCAGGTAGAATTACAGGCCTAAGCCGCCACACTCATGAGATTTGGGGCAAGATGCTTTTCATGCCCTCTTTGCAGAGCCATGCACAGTTGGCCTGAGATCAGCCAGTCTCCCAGTCACCGTCCCTGAATCAGTCCCCAAATGTGTCAAGGAGAGAAAAAAGTATCCATTAGGACTTGCTAATGAACATAGGATGGGCTGGTGACATGGCTTGCCACCAAGCCTGACAATCCCTGAGAAGGAGAAAACTAACCCCTGTAAGCTCTCCTCTGCATGTACACACACACACACAGACACACACACACACACACACACACACAGACACACACACACAGACACACACACACACACACACACACACGTCAATAAATACAAATGTAGCTTAAAATTTGAAAATAGCTTCTTGTGCCCTAGCCCAGTTGGAGGGGGAGGGGCTTGTAGAAAGTGGCAGTGCTCTGGGGTGAGGCTGGTGAACCAGTCACAGCCCCAGGCTGCTCAGCAGCAGTAAGAGAGCCACACCCACCTCGCCTCTCTCCAGATCCATTAACCCAGAATCACAGGCTGAAGAGAGTTAAACAAGTCCTTTCACCTACGAGCGTGAACCCTGAGGCCAGGAAGTGGCCCACCTTCCCTGCAATCCGACAGAACAGGAGGCAGGGCCCGAGATTGACCACAGCAGGCCAGTCCTGCCACTGCAGGGTGTTCCTCAGAGACAGACTAGACCAGACTAACGGGCCAAAAGCTTTGTTCCTTGAATAACCATACCTGCATAAAGGCACGATGCTCCATGATTAGGCTCTGGCTGGAAGCCACCCTTCATCAGCCTGGTAGCACACATCAAAACTGAAAATCCCAGGTCCCTGAGACGTATGCTTCCTACTCTCAGTGAACAGAATATGGCCTGTGGTAGTTTGAACGAGAATGGCCTTGCTAGGCTCTTATATTTGGATACTTGTTTTCCAGTAGGGGGACTTGTTTGGAAAGGCTCAAAAACGATGGCCTTGTTGGAAGAAGCGTGTCACTGAGGAACTGCAGATCTGTACGCTGCTAGGGACATCAGTGTGGCAGCTCCTCAGGAAGATGGGACTTGATCGACCTCAGGCTATACCATTCTTGGGCATGTGCCTAAAGAATGCTTCATCCTACCATGGAGATACTTGCTCAGCCATGTTCACTGATGCTCCTGTCCATGAAAGTCTGAAACTGGAAACAACCTAGATGTCCCTTAACAAAAGAAGAGATAGGGAAAATGTGGTAAATTTACACAATGGAGTATTACTTGGTCATTAAAAATTGAAATCAAACTTGCAGGCAAATGGATGGACCTAGATAATCATCTGGAGCTGGGGGCTAGGGGTAACAGACAGATCTCACTAGGAGCAGGAAATAAAATACAGCTATAGAGAATGTGGCGGAGGACTGGAATGGGGGATCAAGTAGGGAGCGAGAGGGAAGAGGAGGACAAGAGAGGGACGAGGGAGAGACAGCTAGAGTTGAGGTCCATTTGAGGGTGGTGTGGAAACCCATTACAGTAGAAACTTCCTAAAATATAAACATATATGAAGGTGATTGAAATACAATTAAATGAAAAACAAGGACATGACTGCTCCTAGGTATGGTTGAGGAGAAGGATTATTATAGATATGAGGGAGAAAACAGCCAGGGCATCTGGAAGGGTCTAGACTAAGCCTGCCCAGCAGACTGAACCAGGCCAGCAGACCTTGGCCATGACAGAGAGGGAGTGGGGTAGAGCAAGGGGAAGAGAAGAGACAACTTGGGAACCCAGAGACCAAAGAGAAGCTCATAGACAAAATGGCTAGCTTTTACAGGAATTGGAAAAGTTGAGGGAAGGGAAGCTCAGAGGCTGGAGAGATTTAGAGTAAGAGGTTGAATATATCAGTCAGGATAACTCTGTAATAGGGATTATAGGAGATGCTGAGAGCCAGGCTGCCAGCCTCTGCTCTGCTCTGTTAAATAGGTACCTCTGTCAGCCATCCGCCCTGAGTTTCTTTGAA